AAGCTTCTCTAGGGGTCAGAGTCTTGAACTCCATACCGTAAGCTTAACCCAGCAATTAAATTTGTTCTACTTGCATTGATTACGCCAACTATTTAGTTCGAAATAGGAAAACAAGGCCAAAAAAAAAAAAAAAATAGTGAGAGTTCTGTCAAAATATAACGTCAAAGAAATTGAAGCCTTTCTAATTAAAATGCCGCTCAGATGGTCAGGTCATCGGATTAAGATGGATGACAGCAAACAGATATTCTTCTGTCATAGTCCAAATGATTCGAGTTTTGTGAGTCACCCACTTCCCCGTTTACTTTTGACACAAAAGGATCATGAGAATACCAGAGACTGGACATGTGATTAACGACGAAGTTTAGAGAACCTGGAAACAAAACGAATATATATATACATAATATCAAGAAGAGATAGCAGTAATATCTAGGGCATATAATGAGAAATCGGGTCTTGGAGAGACACGGGACAGATGATTAAATAACAAGCTTTAGGAGATATAAATTAAGGAAATTATGGAGAGCCATAAATTGAGGAAATTGTGGAGAGTCATGATCACCAACGTCTTGATGGGACACAGTATATAGAAGAAGAAGAGGAAGAAGAAGAGATTTAGATCGAGAAGCGACCCTTGCTATTGCCTGCCTTGATCTTTTCGTTTGTTTGTTTGTTTAGCAGCATGTCAACTTCTTATGGACCATTTAATGCGGAAAGTTATTTTTGCTGGAAGGATTACAATTTTCTTTTACAAAAAATATTGCTGGTAATTATTTTTTTTCCAAAAATGTATTGCTAGTATGATTTTTTTTTTCAAATATATTTATGGTATCTGTCTATATTTCCGAGATGAGGTATTACGTACACGATTTACATTATTCGGACTATTGTCCTCGTCTTTGTTGCCATATTTATTACAACGTTTCGGCCTTTCAGTATCTGTGTTATATTTCTGAGATGAGGTATTATGTACACTATTTACATTATTCGGACTATTGTCCTCATCTTTGTCGCCATATTTATTACAACATTTCGGCCTTTCAGTATCTGTCTATATTTCTGATATGAGGTAATATGTACACTATTTACATTATTCGGACTATTGTCCTCAACTTTGTCACCATATTTATTACAACATTTCGGCCTTTCAGTATCTGCCTATATTTCTGATATGAGGTATTATGTACACTATTTACATTATTCGGACTATTGTCCTCATATGTGTTGCCATATCTATTACAACGTTTCGGCCTTTCAGTATCTGTCTATATTTCTGAGATGAGGTATAATGTACACTATTGACATTATTCGAACTGTCATCCTCATCATTGTTGCCATATTTATTACAACGTTTCGGCCTTTCAGTATCTGTCTCTATTTCTGAGATGAGGTATTATGTACACTATTTACATTATTCGAACTGTCATCCTTATCTTTGTTGCCATATTTATTACAACCTTTCGGCCTTTCAGTATCTGTCTATATTTCTGAGATGAGGTATTATGTACACTATTTACATTATTCGGACTATTGTCCTCATCATTGTTGCCATATTTATTACAACGTTTCGGCCTTTCAGTATCTGTCTCTATTTCTGAGATGAGGTATTATGTACACTATTTACATTATTCGAACTGTCATCCTTATCTTTGTTGCCATATTTATTACAACCTTTCGGCCTTTCAGTATCTGTCTATATTTCTAAGATGAGGTATTATGTACACTATTTACATTATTCGGACTATTGTCCTCATCTTTGTCGCCATATTTATTACAACGTTTCGGACGTTGTACGCCCCGGCCTTCTACAGGTGGGTGGAATGTTGAACTGAATCCTATATTTTGCTTGCTGTCCTCAAGGAGACATGGCACAGTGGATAAAGGCGTTGGTTAGATCCATTGACAGGACCCAAAGAGTCTGATTTCAATAACCTGTTAAGGCAGATGATTACTTGGAGAGGGTAATTAACAGGAGATAACTGATAACTGGCATCCATTACACATGGCACGTGGAACTAGAACAGTCTACCCCAGTGAGCGAAATAAAGTGTTCAGTTCGACATCCCAACACCTGAAGAAGGTTTGAGCGTACAACGGCCGAAACGTTGACTCTAGATTTGGGATTAATTATTTTCCCATAGCTTAGACCCTACTATCTGCGACCATTGCGGGAAAAGAGCAGTTATGAGCTCGTTCCTTGAACCAGGGAAAAAGAGCAGTTATGAGCTCGTTCCTTGATCCTCAAAAGTTTCCGATCAGAGGCCATGCTGAGGGACGCACTTTATCGTCATACCCAGGACAGTTGATCTTCTGGATCTCGGAGGACTGGCTCTTAACTACATTCAGGCACCTACTGGATACGAGGGACTTAATAAATGAATTGATTCTTACAGTGATTTAATAATTTGAGAGCTTGTAGAGTTCACTGCTTTGTCAATAAATGCCAAATGTTCCCATATAAGGAAATGGCTTATATTATATTAGCATATATCCGCGTTGGTGCGAGACTTGTGTGGAAATATGTTTAGTTGTGAACCGTACAGAGTGTAATGCTTCAGTATTGACAACTCCCACGTGTTTCTATCTAGCTTATAGACATTTCTGATTGTACGTATAAGTGTAATTTTACTTATTATTTTACTAAAAATGTCCTTTATTACGCACCTGTTCCAGTATTCATAGCATGCGTCATAAGACTTTTTTAGTTCGAGTATCTTTATTTGTGAGGAAAGTACCGCGCATACACCGCTTTGTAGGAGGTCTGATATTGCATAACAGTTCAGCACAATTTTCTTTGTTTATAATGAATTTTTCTATCTCTTATCATTTTCTTTAGATTCTGAACGGAATGCACTATTTTTTCAAGAGATGTGGTTCAATGAAAAATATTGATAATACTATGGAGAAATTGATCGCATTCTCTCGCTTTTTTAGGCGACAAGACCATACTCGTCGCCTAAAGATATGCCGACAGCAGTCCGCCATAAATACACTCGCCAGTAATTTACAATCGCCTGATAAGATGCGTTGATATGCACGATACAGGACTACAACTGTGTAGCGTTTTTGACATATATTTCGACGTAATATCCTAAAATAAAAAATATTGCTCACTTTGCATCGAACCATCTTTTAAATTAAATGTTACGAATGTTGCAACTGTACTCTATTCGTTCTCATCTTACTAGGTCATACTGGCCATGTCTTAAGAATATCTGATGACAGACCCAAGATCCTAATGTACGGCCACTTAGATCAGGGCTACAGGAATGTAGGACGCCATTGGCTAAGATACAAATCCGAGCTGAAGAGCAACTTGTCAATTGTCAATATACCTCATAACACCCTTGAACGCTTAGACTTGGAGAGGGTAGAATGTTTTAGTGGTGTCAGCAGCTTTCAATCAGCTTTTCGGAACCTTCTTCAAGAAGCGAAAGCAAGCTCTAAAAGGTCAGCCAATCTAACAGTGATCTCATCTCACAATCCTCACTCTTGTTCCATATATGGTCTCTTTCGTAAATCACTAGTGGGTCTTAAGAGCCACTTAAGATTGTCGCACAAAAAATAACTGAATCAATTACGTTGTCAGACCCTCATACGTCGGAAGCGACGGGACAGTCGATTATATATATATATATATATATATATATATATATATAGCACACCTTAAGACTATATTTCTTCATATATATATATATATATATATAATATATATATATATATATATATAACAGACAACGAATGTCTATCATGCCTGATCATGAGCCGTTCAAACTCCGTATGTGTCCTTTAATTTCCGGTGATAATAAAGACAAAAAATTGTCCAACATTTGGATATTTTTAATAAGATGGTCTTTGATCAAACTTTTCCGTCCATATGAGCCATCTTCAGTGTGGTTATCCGAGAATTTAAACAAAGATATTCACCATCAAAGATGATATACTATTGTGTTGATATAGAAGATTGCTATGATAGGATAGCGGTCGCAGAATAGAAGACGCAGGTCGCACCATATAAGAGACCGAAACATTAACAAGAGAATCATGTCTAGAGTCAATGTAATGTGTTTTGACTAGTTTGAAATGTATTTTTTTTATGTGTAGCTTACTAAGTTTTAATGTAGATGCTCTCCAATATATTGAGGTTCTTTTTACTGTGTGTATGCGTGAATATTATTGTGTTATATCTGTCTAATATTATGTACATGGCTATATTTTTTACTAAGCGATGTTGTTTAATAGAACTAAAATCAGAAATGTGACAAGTAAGGCTACGGGTGTGTAGTGGGTGATAATATCTCTGAATGGGTATGTAAATTCATACAATATATTGGTTTTTGTAGAGGATTTTGTTGTGTGGTTGTAGGGTTATTAGAGACTACGAAGTCAATTGTTTTAAATTTTTTATAATATATGATGATCTTAACCTTTTTATTATTATTAATGGGTTTAACATTTCTACCTCTTATATGTTTGAGTGTTTTTCACCTATTTTTGTAATCATTATACATTTGGTTACAATAGTATAAGTTCATAGTGTTATGTTTATTACACTATTATTATTTAATTGTATCAATTTCATCAGAGGTATTATTAAGTTTATTGAGATGCATTTTAATTTATTGATCAATAACGGAATTAGGAATTGTTTTAATGTAGATGGCCTCAAATATCTGAAAAATTTTTTACTGTGTGTATGTGTCACTGTTATACTGTTATCAACCAATATATGCCTAATATTATGTGCATGACTATGCTTTTATAAGAAATATTCTTTAATAGAACTAACATTAAAAAGCGTGACGGGTAATTCTACTGTAGAGCTTGGTTGTAGTAAAACCAATAATATGTACTGGGTTTGTTATTAGTATCAGAATACAATCTCTGAACAGGCCTGTAAATTGATACACTACATTGTTTTTTTGTTTTTTTTTTGTAGAGAGTGTAATTGTGTGGTTGTAATATTATTAGTAACTCTTAGAGAGAGAGGAAGAGAGAGCGACGGTGAGAGAGAGAGAGAGAGAGTTGAAAAGAGAGGGAGAAAGAAAGAGAAGTGGAAGGATAAAGGTGGAAAGAGATAGAGATCTAGAAAGAGAGAGGGAAAGGGCGTGGTTGTAGTAGGTATATTATTCGTATCAGACATACAATCTCTGAAAAGGCCTGTAAATTAATACACTACATTGTTTTTTTTGTAGAGGGTGTAATTGCGTGGTTGTAGGATTATTAGAGACTATGAGAGAGGGAGGAAGAGAGAGAGAGATAGGTGGAAAGAGAGAGAGAGGGAGAAAGATAAAGAAGTGGAAAGAGAATGGTGGAAAGAGAGAGAGATAGAAAAACAGAGAGAGTGGGGGGGCGTGGTTGTAGTAGGTCTATTTATTTATCCGCTGCCCCACGTAGCAAGATGTGGCACAAGGCTTGGACAAAAATTCCCTATAGACCACGTAAAAACGGAGTCAGTTTCTCGAGACGAGACAATGCCCTTCGGCAGAGACTCGTCTGGGGGATAACCTCTGACATAAGCCAGTTAAGTTATAGTAGGTATATTATTAGTTTCAGAGATATAATCTCTGAACGGGTATGTAAATTGATACACTATTTGGTTATTTTATAGAGGATTTAGTTGTGTTTATAGGATTATTAGTGACAATGAGGTTAATTGTTTTAAACTTTGAGTTAAGCTTATCATATATTACAACTTTTTACAAACTTTTATAAATTTCTACTTTTTACAGAATTTCTAGGCGGACATTTAAACAAAAATATTCACCATCAAAAATGATATTCTGTTATGTTGACATAGAAGATTGCTATGCAGCAATAACTGTCGCGGAATAGCAGAGGCAGGTCGTAAATAATGGATGAGATTATATGACGTCGTAACACGTGAGAGAACGAAATATTAACAACAGAATCAGATACCTAGCTGCAGTGTAACGCGTTGCGACTAATTTCATCGGTAATTTTGTTGAGTGTGGGTTGCTTTGTTTTAATGTAGATATCTGAACGTTTTTTAATTGTGTTTATGTGTGGGTTTTGTTGTGTTATCAAATAATCGTCTAATATTATGCAAATGGTTACGTTTTTATAAGAACTGTTCTTTAATAGAACTAACATTAGAAAGGTGACAGGTAATTCTACGGGAGAGGGTAGTTGTAATATAACCAATATATTTAGTTGGTATATTATTAGTATCAGAGATATAATCTCTGAGACGGGCATGTAAATTGATACACTACATTGTTTTTTAGAGGATTTAGTTGTGTGGTTTTTGGGTTATTAGAGAATATGAAGTCAATTGTTTTAATTTTTTTTATAATATATGATGAGTTTAACTTGTTTATTATTATTAATGGGTTTAACATTACTACCTGTTATTTTTTTAGTTTTTTTTTCATCATTTTTTAATCATTATATATTTGGTTACAATAGTATCAGTTCATAGTGTTATGTTTATTACACTTTTATTATTTAATTATATCATTTTCGTCAGAGGTATTATTAAGTTTATTGAGATGCATTTTAATTTATTGATCAATGACGGAATTAGGAAATCCATTATTAACAAGTGCTTCTTTAAAGATATGTAATTCTTTACAGAATACTATTTTAGAAGAAGATATCATTTGTGTGGGTTGCTTTAAGCTTTTTTTTTCTTTTTATAACGACTAACTTCTATAACTATTATAATTAAGAAGACGCCAGTTAATGCTAGTGGTTTCCTATATAAAGAAGTAGGAAATTTATGTGTGCTGGAATCAATAAATGTATCAAAGAATCTAATTCTAATGTTATGTAATTCTTTATAGGATAGTGTTTTGGAAGAGGATGTCATTTGCGTGCGTTGTATTAAGTTTTTTTTTATAAGGGTTAACTTATATCGTTGAAGGCATTCACTATTAGAATTCATTGACTGTTAGATTTAACAATATATGTTTAAACAATGATCTGCTGCCCCAATACACTACATATATGGATGAATATGGCTGTGTGTCTCTGTTTGTGTCTGTGTATGTGTTTTAATTCCCATGCATAAATGCAATGAATGCCCTCATGCCATGAAATGTAGATACTATCACACATTCGCACCGAAGATCAACACAAAAAAATTAAGGATAGTGACGCGATAAAATCAATGTGGGGAACTCAAGAAAGAAACACGCTCCAATTTCTCAAATAGATAATTAGATGTCTCTCTGTGTATATCTATGTATTTGGGCATTAGCCTCTATTTTATACAAGTTCATTAAAGAAAACAAGCAAGGTACTGCGTTTAAGCCTTTTATTCATTTTTCTTGTGTTTCTATAAAGAAAAAGAAATTATTTCTGGGCGCAAATGGTGTTAAAATTGTCCAAATTTGTCTCTGCGTTTACGGCTATTCTTTTACCAATGATATATATATATATATATATATATATATATATATATATATATATATATATATGTGTGTGTGTGTGTCTGTGTGTCTGTGTCTGTGCATGTGTGGTTGTAATAAAAATCTTGGTAATCCGGATGGATAATCCCAAGTTGGATAAATCCGGAGAGCTCAATGTTATGTCAGAGCGAATAATTTAATTTAAAGAAAAACAGACCATTTTAAGTTTCCACTTTTATAATTTATTTTACCAGAGAGTTTCTTTTACTCTGGATCATCAGACCTCACTTCCAAGGATGAAAAAATCAATTTAAACTTACACTTTTGAAGGACAGTATTAAGCTTATATATGGATATATAGAGAGTGGTGAGAGATAATATGACAGGCATGGTCGAAATTAGAGAAGCAAGGAAGAGGTAGGAATCCTTTGAAATTTATTTTATTTTTATTACAATACTTAATAGTGAGGAGGGGGTAAGGATCAGACATTGACCTATTTAGTAGGTCAATTCACTGGAAACGATATAAAGAGAAAGAGAAAAAAAGAGAAAAAAGAAAAAAAAGAAAAAGAGAAGTAAAGATGTAAGAAATAAGAGATGGACTTTGGGTTTTGAAGAAAAGAGAGGAGGATATAAATTTGGCGAGGGAAATTAACGTATGTGGGCATGTATCGACCAATCTGAAAAACACACACACATATATATATATATATATATATATATATATATATATATATGATATTATTTCATATTATGTGCATTCAAATCCAGCGATTTCTCACGCCTGTTAAAGGGGCCACTCTCTGATAGACTATGTCTTCAAACGTGTATCCATACTCATCACGTTTGACTATTTGCAGTTTGGTGAGACTATTTAACACATTGTTAGGGCAGATATCAATTTCTGGCGATGGCGCCATCACGATCGGATGTCGAATGACCCTGGGGTTTTAGGGTTGCCACATATACTGTAGCCGCGGCACATTGGTGTGTCTTGGGCAAGGTGGTGTCACATTGCCCGACCCATTCCATGAAGGTGCGAATGTTCATTCATGTAGACTAGTTGTCAACCAAGGCTATAGGATTCAGTCTGTTCTGATTATTTACCCATGTCTTGGGAAAAAATGATATATATATATATATATATATATATATATATATATATATAATTTTTTCCAGGGTATTAGCACGTAATAGCCGCTATCCATTATGGAGTAATGACGATACCAGAGCTGAGATTTATTTTTATGTAAGGCCAAGCACGTTCCAGTAGGCCTGCAGCCGTTTACGATAACTAAATATGAAAAAGTATTGATAATAAATAATTCAGATTATACAGCACAGGCTATCGCAGAGATACTCCACTTAGACAGTGTGGTGTATAATTATAAGGCCAGTTGAATTTTATATTTAAACTTTAGCAATTGATCTATTTTTAAAATATTTTGTATATTATTATATAGTATTAATAATCTTAAAGTGTTAAATATGCGTAGAAAATCAGTTATCGTAAAATTATTCAAAAAATCGAAAAACGATTGGTGCATAATTATATATTATTTTTACTTGCATTTAAATCAACAATAGCTTAAAATTTTATAAATTATTATTAATAACTCACCAGCATTTGCGCATAACAAAAATGGTATAAATTATGCCTTGGGGTAGAAAATTAAGTGAATTTGAAAAAGGTCAAATAATCGCACTCAAAAATTAAAATTTGAGGAGTAGAGAAATTGCCGTTAGGCTTTAGCGTTCTAAAAGGGTTATTAACATTTTTTTTTTTACCAAACACGAAAGAATATGGTGCCAGGAAATGATCTGGAAGAAGCAAGAAATTAAGTGCCAGGGATTTCAGAGCAATCAAAAAAGAAACAAGCAATGCCATTATATCATGTTCCAAGATCTAGGAAACTCTGGAATTGGGTGTTTCACGTTGGACGGTTTGGTGAGAACTTAACAGGTCTTCTTAGTTCAGTTATGCCAAGCTTATGAATGCTCCATGTTTGACCGAACAACAGATTTCAGAACGCTTCAATTAGGCCAAAGCTTATCTGACTTGAGACAAGCAATGGGAAGGTGAGGCATTTTCCGATGAAAAAAAATAGTTTGGACGGTCCGGATGTGTTATCTTCGTATTACCATAACCTTATAAAGGAAAAGTTGGTTTTTTCCAAGTGTGTGTAAGTCTTATGATTTGGGTGGCATTCCGATTCAAAGGCAAAACTCTAATTGTTTTTCATTGGCACATGACTTGATGCTTTGGATTATCAGAATTTGTTGTCTACTTGTCTCTTGACTTATGGAAAAAAATTGTGGTCAAAATTGGGTGTTTCAGCAAGACATTGCTCCTGTTCACAAAGACAATTCCACTGTGGAGTGGTTTCATTCGAACCGAATCAATGTTATGAATTAGCCTGTCAGATCACCTGATCTCAAACCTATCGAAAACCTTTGGGGGATATTGAATAGGCGAATATACAAAAATGGGAATCAATTTAATAACAATTTAATAACAAGGAAGAGCTCAAAAGTTAAATTTTAAAAGCCTGAGATTCGATTGACTAATACGACACTCAGATCTTAATCTATTCTATGAAAAATCAGGTCGCCTGCATGTGCACTTCGAAGTTTTGGGGAAAAATTGTTTTGGAGCCACCCACGTGATCATGACCTCTTAAAATGAACCCAAAGCACGTGTGACAGGCAGATACAGACCTGGGCAGATCAGCAGCAGACCATTTCTTCGACCGCTCACTCAAGCGTAAAAATGTGACGACTACTATTACCGTCTCGACGAAGCGAGACGACAAATCTTTCCCGTTCGATATCTTCTACGAACTTTTTCGTCATTCAAGAATCTCAAACTATACATTCTCTTTCATCATCTACGATGAATCAGTTAATCCAGCGAACACAGAGAAGCGCTAATCTAATCCACGTAACTTGCGATTATAATTTTCCCGCGCAAACAAAACCACAACTGACTCACCCACAAACTCAACTTGAAGATTACCCTGTGAATACAAAGAATTTCAATTCGCAAGACTTTACTTATCCAAAGTGAATTATTAACGCTCACTACAATTTAATTAAATACTATTATTGAACATATTTCATACTTACAGTTAAGGGTAGTCTACTTCTAAATGACTCAGTTCTAAACAATACAAAAAGAACAACACGAACATAATAACGGTGTTTAAACAATAATTACGAATTCTTATAGACTGTAATACAAATACACCAAGACACCAAAAATCAAACAAAGTCTTCATCCTCTAACAAACATAACAATACAATAATATCTTGTAATAATATTTTGTATATAATATTTGTATTGTATATAAATGCATTTGTTTGTTTGAATTACTTACATGGTTTGCCTTGTTTTATATTAAGTATTATTTATTGTTGTGGATGCAAGAGAAAATCACGCAACCTGACAAAAATTCCTTCTGATATATTCTAACACCATAACAAAAAAAAGATCTTAGTTCATTCTGCGCATCCCCAACAAAGTGATAGCCAATCACAAACTAAATATTAATTTCTATAAATTTTTACGGTTTGTCACTTTTGTTATAAAAAACACAAAACTTTTTAGTGGCCTTATAATTATGCACAAATCGTTTTTCGAGTTTTTGAATAATTTTACAACTGATTTTCTAAAAATGGTAATTATTTGAAACTCTCAACTTATTAATATTATATAATAATATACAAAGTATTAATAAAAGCTCAGTTGCAAAACTTTACAGATAAAATTCAGCTGGACTTATAATTATCCACCGCACTATATGTGATATTTGTAAAGACTAGAATACGTGAAACATTTAAGTGGCGGATAATTTGACGGAAGAGCTTTTCATCTGTGACTCTCGGCTCAGACTCAGCAAAAATAACCCATTCTTTAAAAAAGTAATCACACGCGATGAACAAAAGCATTATTTACAACAACTGTTACGGTTTTTTGGGTATATTATATATAACTAGTGAGCGAGTCAGAATGAGTTATTTCCCTTTATAGTCGACCAATAGAAGGTTGACCAATCAGAAGCCGCACAACACTGTATTCGTCGTGTATAAAGGCGGCCATCTTTGTTTCTCCTAGCGGAAGGACCAGAGGCAACTTGTCAGGCGAACACGACAGAAGGAAGAACTACGCTCTGCTACGATATCCACTGCGAACCTGCACTACGCTTTCCTACTGTCTCCGAAATATTCACTGCCAACCTCTGGATTCTATACTCGAGGACGACCGTCATGGAAATGTCTAACAACAACAACAACAAAAAAAGCTCCACGATATCTTCCCAACTGAGCAACGGTGAGAGGAAAAAGATCATTCAGGCCTTCAGTGATGGTACAAACATTCATACTGGCTTCTATCTTCAAAGTTCTGTCATGAACCATCCAGGGAATAATTTTAAAGAAAGACGGAATAGTCGAGAGGAAAACTGGATCAGGAAGTTCACAACATCAAGAGGGATCATCATTTCAATTTAGAGCTAAATACATTCTTATTGTTCAAAGTAGAGTCCAATAGTGTCATAAAAACCTCGGAGAATTCTAGTAATATATCTTTAATCGTTTCTAAAATACAACGGTTGAAATATTTATCAAACAATTGGACAATTTTGCTGTCACACGATTTGAACAGTTTTGCTGTTACACGATTTGAACAGTTTTGCTGTTACAGCCGGTATATAAAGCGATCGTCCTCGTGAGGTGTTTATTATCTAACGCCTCACTGATTCTGTGAGTAATGACAGGAACTCATTCTTGAAATGGTCTCAGGCGCTTCAGTTAATGGAGATATGATAACATTATTTCATTCATCTATGTTGTTTGGATCAAGATTTATTGACGTTAGTTTGGACTCCATTTTATGACTGAACTCTAAATTTACACTTTCACTTTTAAGGGGATATTATGACGATGTGTTTTTCGTGGTTTATTTGGGCGGAAGCGAGGTCTGTTTTCTGCTGGTGTTGTTAGTTTTGTTACAAGTGGTATGTGATCAGATTCAAGGTAGGAGCCGTATGTTCTAAAATCTGTTACTAACTGCTTAATTAAAGAGCCTGAGTTGCCTCTACGAATGAGAAGTTCGACGTCCGAGTTCGAAATATAGTCGAGTACGTTATACCCACTAACGCAGAAATACTCTTGGGGAATGCATATATCCATAGCTACTCCCCCAGCTAAGGGTTAAATAGAAGGGAAAATCATTACCGTTTCTTGTGTGATGCTGTTAAATTTACCCTTTTCCACTATTTTACACTTCCAGCAGACGACGTACTTATAGACAACAATGAATATAAAGCCACTTAAACTCACTGGCATATAAAAAAGGGGAACACGGGTGGGGCAATGGGCGTAAAAATGTGACGGCCCACCTACTAGCGGTCAACTTGTGAAGCAGCATCTTGTAACACAACTCCTCCCTTAGCAGGCGGGAGTTACAAAGTGAGTCGGCTGCTCCAGATTTTATCTGTTGCTTCTGATATCTGTTATAGCAAGTTCGTAATACTGAGGTATGAGGGCAGATATATTTCAAACAAAGGTTTCACTGCTCGGTCCTAATATTTCCTTATAAGGAGAGAAATTAAAAAATAACACTAGTCAAAGAAAGTCATTCTAGCATTTGGTTTTCATGACTAGCTATGAGAGCTGCACTTTTCGCTCTTATTGGCTAATGTATGCTGGCCTCCGTCCCAAACAGACGATACAAGAGACGCCGCATAACGCTACTTTACAAAATGTCCTAGTCTGAAAGGTTTCCATTGTCGAACTTCCAAGAGGCCGCCAGCAAATTAACAAAGGACCAAAAAGATGACCAAGAAAAAAAATCTTTTCCTGCATCTTGGCTTGTGTCTGAATCTTTTGTAACGCGATTGGAATCATTAATCCCCCCTCACCGGTTCATTGCGAAGCCATTTTGTATTTTACCTATAACGCCCTGATCGTTCAAATATCTTTTTTTTCACTTCATTAAAACATTTTTTTTACGTCTATCGCAAAAATCACAAAGAAAGAACGTGTAGCCAATGAGAGAAATTACATCGCTTGAGTACATTCATCATCACCAACAACTAAAATGGATAGCACGTTTAACTCGAAGAAACAAATAAGAACCTAATCAAGATAGGCACAGTGAACAAGTACTCACTGTAAAATAACCAGATGTATGTAAAATAAATTCGAGAGTCGATTATTCTTCGACAACTCGATACGAAACAAGCCCAAGTTAGTAAAATGGCGCTACAGATACTTTCATCCTCCATTCGTTTTCATATGCCGTTTGTGATTTCTAACTTATCTACATATATATACTAAAGATTTATCGTCCGGCACACAGCTGCGAGAATAGTATGTGTAATAAAGTCTAAACTTCTCGAAATAATTCGATTGAGATCTCGGAGAGAGATGAGTGATTATATAAACAGCGTCGGCTGCTGCTAATACAATGCTCTTCTATTTGAATCGTGCTCTCCTATCTACTGACGCCTTTCGCATAGTAAACACGTTAAAATTTCCGTTCCGCTCTGCCCTGCGAAGATAGCTTGGGTGAAGAATCTCTTACTTGTATAAAATCGGTTGGGTTTCGATCCCGGCTTGAAGCAACCTGATGTTTAGCACACTGATGAGTTGTAATACTCCAAAAAATCTGTCTGTGGGTGACTATATATATATATATATATATATATATATATATATATATATATATATATATATATATAAAAGGAAGAGGTTATAATAGTTCCAACGAGAGAGAAATTGTGTATATTAAAAAGAAGAGAAAACCGCAAACGTTTTTGTTGTTGTAATGTGGATTTTTAAAAATAAATATTATGCTTTATTTTCCATAATTTTGCTACACGTGTT